ATAACGCGGTAAATGTTTAGTGAATATGTAAAAGTACAATGTTTTGCACGAACTCCGCGTTAATACTTACTTCCTCTTAAATTCTCTCAGCGGATCACTTTAGACGATAAATCAAGGCAATATTGAACATATAATTAATGCTGTTTTCACAAAATATCGCAATTAAGTGATCATATAAATTAAATGTATTTTGCAAAAAATATTGTCAGTGCAAAAAGTAACACGATCGTCGCTCGAAACATGACGTTTCGTATAACTCGTCATTCTATGTAGTCCACAGTTGGCAACTGAGTCGTAGTTCCGAGTCCTTATATGCACAGCTGTTTGGGAATACCGTCGACAAAATGCGTATAACCGTATTTTGGCGAACGTGAGTGAGCGCTCGGAACGAATACTTGAGATTATCATTCCCCACGGGTTAGTTGTTATTATTATTTATATTTTTTTCTATCTTTCTCCACTTTCTCTTCCCTTCTTTCGTTTGTTTCTTTCTCTCTTCTACACCGTGAGTACAACGAAAATCATCTTGCACTTGCCGCTCGAATAAATAAACAATAACGACGATAATGTGATACAATTATTGTGTTGCAATTATTTTTTCTATTCATGCAGTGGCTGTTTATATGTGTTGCTTCACGTGTGCCTGGGGAAGTCCAAGTTAACTATTACTCGGCCGACGTCTCGTAATTCCCCAACTCATAACGTTACACAAACTTCCTTAAGCATCACAATTAGAGAACCGCTGCGCATCTCGCTGAATTATGTCATGCTATTATTTGCCTTGGCAGTTTATATTTAGCAGATACATACAATGAACACGTCAGGTGAGTCGTTATCAGTCATTTCGACTGGCAAATTATATATGCGTCACACTGCTTGAACACATTAAGCGTCAAGGCTATAATCAATTCCCACGTCAACGGGTCACGTGTCCCGCTGCCTATCGAAAAGGTAATTCCTTACAGGAATAATACGTATTTCAAATGGCAACAGGTTATTTCAAATCTATTTGTTTTTGTTACTTAACTCTCAACCTATAAAAACTCTTTGCTCATTCGATGTTATCTGCTGATCGTTTTGGACGCTGTAAAAAAGAACGATACGCACACTTTCTTAGCGATACACAGCAATAAAGTTCCGATCCGAATGTTACCTCGAATTACGCGGTATTTGTATGGCATACACGATATGACTCATTTTGCATAAACACAGAGTGAGTTTATTGACTTACTGGCCTTGTAAAACATTCCAGTGTTATAGCGTGAAGTGCGTTTTTCTCACGACACTGAACGAGACCGAACGAGCCTTTTGACTCGGCTAAAATGTTTCAGAGGAACACGAGAATATTCATGATCTCGCATGAACGCAAGTAGCTAGGAATCTTATTAGTTTGCGTGATTATTGAGACGAAACATCTTGAGAATTCGATCATATGCTCGTCATTACAGCAGTCATCGATATCGCGACGGGGTCAACGGGGCAGAGTCACAACGGTTATCACCTAATCGTTAGTCCGATACAAGGTCCGTTAGGCAACGAGAGAGATGCGGTAAGAGTGGGGGGAGTGCAGCAGGATGAAAGAAAGCAGGCGAAGGCTGACGAACAAAGCGAGGAAGAAGCGAAGTAACGAGTAGGAGACGGTGAATATTGAGAACTCTCCAAACGGGGTTTCCCGATGTCGCATTCATATGATGATGCGTCGCGAAATTCTGAATAAGACAGCCGAGACAATGGAAAATGGAACACGTCGCGAAATTTCCGGGTAATTAAGTCCGTCGGCCACCGCTGTAGCCGCTATCGTCATCTTCAAGAAAACATTTAGATCCTAAGCGATATCTTGAGCGATATCGCGACAAGATAATCGCTAATCGGCCGTTAATTGGCTCTATGAGTGAGAAATAAAATGCGCACAAATTACATCGCGCAAGCGGCTTAGCTTGAACGCAAACGAATAAAGGATCCGTTACTAGCAATGGAAGTAGCAAATTTCTTCAGCATCCTGTAAATCACAAACCGTAACGCTGCTGGCTGCATTTTTAAGATCGCGAATATGACATTTCAGCGGATATGTTGCCGTAACTGCTTCGATTCAAGAAAATGCCCGGACTGAAAGCGCGAATTGTGTACGCGCGCGATAATTCAATTTACCGATCGTAATAAATTCGATTCGAATCGCCGGATATTCGATTCTCCGTGCTCTTTACGCGAAATAAAAAAAAACACCGTGCGCCGGGAGAATGAGGGGGAAGCAGAAGGGTCAGTCTGATTCACTTGGGCTATCTCGCCGATGGCGAAATGGCATTTAGGGTAAAAGCCGTATTCGGGGAAGCGGCCATGGATTGAGCGCCGAGCTTACGCTGACAAAGTGGACACAACATACACGTTTTGCAAGCTCGAATTTTCCGATCGGTCGAACGACCGAGAGCTGTCCTTCCTGCCTGTCGCGAGACCCATTAATTGCCGGACGTGAATAACGTTCGTGCGATTCGATAGATCGCCACTTTGAAAGTTGCAGCGACAACAAATCGACGCGAGATTTTGCAAGACCTTCAGTTTTCTATCGCTCAAGCAATGTTGATGGGCGTGAAAACACGTTTATATAACGTCGAGACGGACGGGGCATACCACGTAGGAAATGCGAATTGCAAACGAGGCAAATGTGTATTGAACTGCGGAAAATATGTTAATGAGAATGTAAAGGTTTCCTTTCGGAGTGTCATTTCTGAAATCTAAATTTATGTTAACGAACGACATAAACGATAAGCAAATCGCGAAAGCATTTGGAATAGAATTATATTTGTGAAAAAAAAAGAAACATTTGAATAGTCAAAATTTGAAGAGTCAAAATTGTGAGGAGTATAAATATATGTACATATATATGAATCAATCTTCGAGCGTTTTCCGTATTACATAATATTTAAAATTATAAATACAATTCTCTTCTCCAAATCTTTATTTGTGAATCATATATCGTTTAATAAAGCCGACTTAACAAATTCAGGTCCAATTCGAATTGCAGTGAGAGGAAAAGCACACGTAAACGCGACGATTTTCATTAACAACGAAATTCCATTATCGATGTTCCGTTACTTCATGTTACTTCGTCGCAAAACAAGCAGCATTTCACGTGTCGGGATGCACTCGAATCGATTTACACCATCGTTATAAGCAAACGCAGTTTTTAAATGCGTATGCATAAGCATATGGAAGATTTTCTGTGACGCAATAGATTAGGTAACTATTCTATAACAAACTATTCTCGAAGCACAAACCGATGATAAGGAATTAAAGATGTGAAAAAACAATCACGGCATATAAAAGCGCACGCAACTCGCCGACTATAGCAGTCACAAATCGGTAGAACAAAGCAGAGGGTCATCACGTTACAATGCCGCGCGCTAGTTTCGTATTGCTTATTGCGATCGCAGTGCTCTTTGGTAAGTTTTCGCGTTAATAATAATCGTGCAGCTCGACTAGAAATTTCATGAATAATTGTCGTAATATGTGCCGGCCCTTGTTTTAATTTTAATCTTAATAATCACCGATAAACCTACAATGACTTAAATAATAATGCATATGTATAGGCACAGGTACTTCAAACCAAGAATGTGGGCCAAATAAAGAGTACACTACTTGTGGGTCAGCATGTCAACCGACCTGCAGCAATCCAGAACCAGTTCAAGTTTGCACTGCGGTAATTTTATCGATTTATTAAACTTTATTCGATAACGCGCAAATCCCAATGAATTTTGCTCTGTTTTTACGCGGACGTAGTTGTGCGATTAAAAATAGCATTATTTTGTCGATCACAGTTATTACGATGAATTAACTCGATATATTTTGCGACTTTCTTTTCAGCAATGTGTAATCGGCTGCCAATGTAAAGAAGGATTTCTGTTGAACGGCGCAGGTCAATGCGTTTCCCCCCAAAATTGCTAAAAGCCGATGGAGACTACCTACTAAAGTGTGATGTCCGAATCTATCAAACGTTTCAAAGCTTTCCTAAAAAATTCGAATTTAAAGTTATGTTTGTAAGATGCTTAAATATAAATTAGTTGCAATTAAACCTAATTGGCATTTGTTTGTATACTCGTTGCGTCTTCATTGATTGAATAGAAGAGAAATTGAAATTATTAAAACTAACGTTTCTTCCATTTTATTAATAATATTATATAAGATACTTGCATTTAATATTTTTTTGTATATCCAAAATGATTAAAAATAAATACTAACATGGATAACACATCTTGCTTCTTTTCCGTACCTTTAACGAAAACGTTTCGCAATATTTGTGTAACCCACGGTTCAAGGAATATTATTGTATTACGCATGGAAATAAAACATGGAGGTAAACTAATGAGTGAAAAAGTCGCACTAAAATGTAAATACGTTCGAGTATTCTTCGTCATGATATTTTGCATTGAGCGAACCATTGCCAGCAAATCTCGAAAACATTTGGAAAATAATTATATTTGTGAAAAAAAAAGAAATATTTGAATAGCAAAATTTGAAGAGTCAAAATAGTAAAGGGTATAAATATATGTACATATACATGAATCATTCTTCAAGCGTTTTCCGTATTACATAATATTTAAAATTATAAATAAAATCCAATTCTCCAAATCTTTACTCGTGAATCATATATCGTTTAAGAAAGCCGATTTAACGATTTCAGGTCCAATTCGAATTGCAGTGAGACGAAAAGCACACGTAAACGCGACAATTTTCATTAACAACGAAATTCCACTATAGATCTTCCGTTACTTCAAGTTACTTCGTCACGAAACAAGCAGCATTTCACGTGTCGGGATGCACTCGAATCTATTTACACCATTGTTATAAGCAAACGCAGTTTTAACATGCGCATGCATAAGCATATGGAAGATTTTCTGTGACGCAATAGATTAGGTAACTATTCTATAACAAACTATTCACGAAGCACAAACCGATGATAAGGAATTAAAGATGTGAAAAAACAATCACGGCATATAAAAGCGCACGCAACTCGCGGACTGCAGCAGTCACGAGTCGGTAGTACAAAGCAGAGGATCATCACGTTACAATGCCGCGCGCTAGTTTCGTATTGCTTATTGCGATCGCAGTGTTCTTCGGTAAGTTTTCGCGTTAACAGTAATCGTGCAACTCGACTAGAAATTTCATGAATAATTGTCGTAATATGTGCCGGCCCTTGTTTTAATTTTAATCTTAATAATCACCGATAAACCTACAATGACTTAAATAATAATGCATATGTATAGGCACAGCTACTTCAAACCAAGTGTGTGGGCCAAATGCAGAGTACACTACTTGTGGGTCAGCATGTCAACCGACCTGTAGCAATCCAGATCCACACCAAATTTGCACTCTGGTAATTTTATCGATTTATTAGACTTTATTCGATAACGCGCAAATCCCAATGAATTTTGCTCTGTTTTCACGCGGACGTAGTTGTGCGACTAAAAATAGCATCATTTTGTCGATCACAGTTATTACGATGAATTAACTCGATATATTTTGCGTCTTTCTTTTCAGCAATGTGTAATCGGCTGCCAATGTAAAGAAGGATTTCTGTCGAACGGCGCAGGTCAATGCGTTTCCCCCCAAAATTGCTAAAAGCCGATGGAGACTACTTACTGAAGTGTGATGTCCGAATATATTAAACATTTCAAAGCTTTCCTAAAAAATTCGAATTTAAAATTATGTTTGTAAGATGCTTAAATATAGATTAGTTGAAATTAAACATAATTGGTATTTGTTTGTATACTCGTTGCGTCTTCATTGATTGAATAGAAGAGAAATTGAAATTATTAAAACTAACGTTTCTTCCATTTTATTAATAACATTATATAAGATACTTGCATTTCATACTTTTTTGTATATCCAAAGTGATTAAAAATAAATACTAACATGGATAACACATCTTGCTTCTTTTCCATACCTTTAACGGAAACGTTTCGCAATATTTGTGTATCCCGCGGTTCAGGGAATATTAATGTATTACGCATGGAAATAAAATAGAGGTTAACTAATGAGTGAAAAAGTTGCACTAAAATGTAAATATTTTCTTCGTCATGACATTTTGCATTGAGCGAACCATGGCCAGCAAATCGCGAAAGCATTTGGAATAGAATTATATTTGTGAAACAAAAAGACATATTTGAATAGTCAAAATTTGAAGAGTTAAAATTGTAAGGAGTATAAATATATGTACATATACATGAATCAATCTTCGAGTGTTTTCCGTATTACATAATATTTAAAATTATAAATACAATCCTATTCTCCAAATCTTTACTCGTGAATCATACATCGTTGAATAAAACCGATTTAACGAATTCAGATGCAATTCGAATTGCAATGAGAGGAAAAGTACACGTCAATGCGACGTTTTTCATTAACAACGAAATTACATTATCGATGTTCCGTTACTTCATATTATTTCGTTACAAAACAAGCAGCATTTCACGTGTCGGTATGCACTCGAATCGATTTACACCATCGTTATAAGCAAATGCAGTTTTAACATGCGCATGCATAAGCGTATGACGATTTTCGATGACGCAATAGATTAGATAACTATTCTATAGCTAACTATTCTCGAAGCGCAAACTGATGATGAGGAATTATAGACGTGTTAACAAACAGCACGGCATATAAAAGCACACGCAACTCGCGGACTACAGCAGTCACGAATCGGTAGAACATAGCAGAGGATCATCACGTTACAATGTCGCGCGCTAGTTTCGTATTGCTTATTGCGGTCGTAGTGCTCTTCAGTAAGTTTTCGCGTTAACAATAATCGTGCAGCTCGATTTTCATGAATAATCGTCGTAATATGTGCCGGTCCTTGTTTTAATTTTAATCTTAATAACCACCGATAAACCTACAATGACTTAAATAATAATGCATATGTATAGGCACAGCTACTTCAAACCATGTGTGTGGGCCAAACGAAGAGTACACTACTTGTGGGTCAGCATGTCAACCGACCTGCAGCAATCCAGATCCACACCAAATTTGCACTCTGGTAATTTTATCGTTTTATTAGACTTTATTCGATAACGCGCAAATCCCAATGAATTTTGCTCTGTTTTCACGCGGACGTAGTTGTGCGATTAAAAATAGCATCATTTTGTCGATCACAATTATTACGATGAATTAACTCGATATATTTTGCGACTTTCTTTTCAGCAATGTGTAATCGGCTGCCAATGCAAAGAAGGATTTCTGTCGAACGGCGCAGGTCGATGCGTTTCTCCCCAAAATTGCTAAAAGCCGATGAAAGTCTACCTACTGAAGTGTGATGTCCGAATCTATCAAACATTTCAAAGCTTTCTATAAAAATTCGAATTTAAAGTTATGTTTGTAAGATGCTTAAATATAGATTAGTTGCAATTAAACCTAATTGGTATTTGTTTGTATACTCGTTGCGTCTTCATTGATTGAATAGAAGAGAAATTGATATTATTAAAACTAACGTTTCTTCCATTTTATTAATAACATTATATAAGATACTTGCATTTAATATTTTTTTGTATATCCAAAGTGTTTAAAAATAAATACTAACATGGATAACACATCTTGCTTCTCTTTCGTACCTTTAATGAAAACGTTTCGCAATATTTGTGTAACCCGCGGTTCAAGGAATATTAATGTATTGCGCATGGAAATAAAACATGGAGGTTAACTAATGAGTGAAAAAGTCTCACTAAAATGTAAATATGTTCTTCGTCATGACATTTTGCATTGAGCGAGCCATTGCCAGCAAGTTTTTAGAGGTCTGTTTTTATCTGCGTTAATTTAAACTATCGGACTACTAAATGCTTCGCTAATCTTGTTGATGAGTAATGGTAATTTCTCTCCGGCGATATTTTTATCTCTCACTTTGCAAGTAATTTCTATTTACAAGATATCATATGAAATATTTACGTTCTTTCCACCGCATTATTTCTTTTTACTTTATTTATCGTTAACGCGTTACCGCGGAAGTTAGTGTCAAATTTATATATTGGCCTTGAAAACTAAACTTAGATTGTATTGAAAATACCTTCATATGACTAAGTTATTTTGTAGCACAGATAAGAAGCGAACGAGTTACTTTGTAGCACAGATAAGGAGCGAGCGAAATAATTGTTTTCGCGGTAAAAAGTTATCGCTGCGGTAGATTGGCTGTTTTCCATTTTTTTTTATGAACTCCTGTATTACGCAAGTGCGGTTTAGTCGGATAGGAGCGATGTAACAAATCAGTTTTACGAGCGTGATTTGAATATGAAGGTCCGCATATGATAAATACAAAACTAAGCGAAGGCGGCGAGTAAGTTGTTTGCACATTAACAGATCGATATGTCTCGCTTTACTCTCGTCTAGGTCGCCTTCATCGCGTTGATATATTTCCTTGGTGAGTTTAAACGTTACGCAAATCGTGTGTTTTCATGAGGCAGCAGAAATTAATAATCAACAGTGCGCAGAATCGTTACATTTTAATCGCGCGATTACATTTTACATTTTATGCTATTTAATGTAGATCGCCGTCGATTCGTTCTATTTGGTGATGTGCGACTCGACAGAGAAATACTAACTTAATCAAATATATGAAAATTTCATATGTGGTCGCACACGAGAATCCACGATGTCCTTCGACGTGACAGTGGAGCGAATGAGAATCGGCTTGCCCACTTGTGACAATTCCAACTGCGCGTGCGAAAAGGTAATTTCTTGCCATTATTTGATTTTGCTGTTCGCGATGAATCTTTCAAAATAGATCGACCATTTGAGACCAGGTGAGACGATGACTAACGAAAAGACGGTACCGATGTTGTAATCATTGATTGTGATCAAACTTGGTGAAGATACAGTGCAACAACCGACCTATATCAAGCAGTAAGGTGCATTACTAAAAAATAAGCGGAAAAATTTAAATTGTAAATTCTATAGTCATGTAAGTTCTTTAAAGTAGTAGTAGTGGTAGCATAAAGTGAGTTTTTTAAGGATTCGTTAAAAAACTTGCACTACATATAGATTTAAATATGATTTAATTATTGATGCATTTAGAAAACGATTAACCGTTCAGAAGCTAAGATATTCGTAACCTAAGTAAAATAAAAAATCATATAAAAGGTAAGATGACGTCAAAATGATATCATATGGACATTATTATTACTTCTTAGGAACTGAAAATGAGATCGATATAGTTGATATAATTTGTTCAATTTATCACATATAACTAGAGTTGTAACAATGACTGGCGCTTTTGATAAAATTACACTCGAATAACTTGGTTGGTCGGCTTCGCATCGCACAACGGCTCATTATCGATTGTTTGAAAATTCTAAAGTATACTAGGTGACTCGTGTACAAAGTATCAACAGTTGGGGCAGATATTTTGCAATAACTAAATATTGTTTTAGGTCTTTTCACCTTCCATAAAGAACGAATTCTCTTCTCCGTCCGAGTGTTTTCCGCGTGGAAACGTAAACAATGATAAAAATACAAGAGATTTAAGAATAATAAGTAGTTGCGATGGAAAACGCGTATAAAAGTAAGGCCAGTTCGGCCTATACATGCATTAGTAAAGCAGTATTACGCAAAATAAAATCGCTTCACGACCGAAACATTAATAATGTCTCGTACTGTTCTCATTCTTCTCGTCGTTGGCACTGTGCTATCGAGTAAGTATTTCATCGTGTATATTTTACTTTAAATGCAAATGCAATGTTTTTCTATGATAAATATGCTAATTATTTCGATTAAGTTAGGACGCGTTTTGTTCGAGAATTATCGGATATCGTTATTTATTAATTTTGTATCTTTTGTTTCACTTTCCTTTATTCAACAATTAGACAAATACTTGTAATAATAAAAACTATTAACGTCTGTTTACATGGGTAAACTGAGCAATGCAATTAATGGACGTGTCGAAAATGCAATGGTACATCTATAGCTATGAACTTCTGTTGTTTATATTCGCGGCATATGATAATAAATAATCGTTGCAGTCGCAAATGGTCTATCGTTACTGAAATGTAAAAAAAATGAAGAATGGACCGAGTGCGGATCCTGGTGTCAACCAACTTGCTGCGAAAAGGAGCCAAAGGTTTGCCCTGCGGTAAGTGATTTTAACTTAATAACAGGAAACTCAGCATAATGCTACTTTTATTTGGTTCTTTATTTATCTTATTCAAAATGGTATTTCGCAAAATAATTAGTCTTTTATGTAACCTGAAAAGTAAATGTAAATGATACATGTATTAACGATACGAATCTGACTTATAGCGAATAATTTTCATCGGGTTAAAATATCTTACCACATAATATCACTCAAGACGTTTTGTTAAATTATATATAATGAAACAACATATTTTTTTAGGATATTATATATTTAGTAATTATTTTGTGCTAATGTGTTTCAGGTATGCGTCAGAAGATGCCAATGTAAAAGCGGTTACTTGAGAAACAGTCGCGGCGAATGCGTCCTTCCTTGCGACTGCAACTGTAAATAATTAATTGGAAACAACTTATATTCGAACTTCAATTTTCGGTAACGCGATTGTTGAAGAATCGTTCTTCAAATCATAAGCAGTTCTATTGCATTTGGCATGCCAAACTTCTTTTGCTTTTAAATATATTAATACATTATATATTTACGGTGTTGTGTGACGTACAATAAAAAGTATTGTATAATACTAAAATATCGTATGAATTTAATTGTCCCTCGTCGAAATATTGGAATAAAGGTTAGGATACGATTAGAATACGTAGCAATGAAATATTTAAAAAAGTATATCAATAAATCGGACTTTACTAGATTATAAGTAAATGTTGAAATTAAAGTTACACGTAGTTCCTACTTAAATTATCAAAAAGGAAATTTGAATCTTAAAAGAAAATATTGTCCGCGACGTACCTAATAATTCATAAACGTTTGCAAAATTTCATATCATTAATTATATACATAATAATTATAAGTAAGGATAGCTACCAAATCTTCAATAAGTATAATTAATGGTTCGTTTTGAGTTATCATTGTGAACTAACATGGAAAAGGATCTAAGTCCGTTTTATTCTTTTATTAGAAGTACTTAGATAAAATTTCATCTTCATGTCATTACAAAGTTTAAAAAGTTAGAGAAGTTGAACGAATTAATCGACAAAAAAGATTATTTAAATTTTGTCTTCTTCCTCTCATTGTCATATTCACAGTAAGTAGGTCGCTAGAATGACGAAAAATATTTTTATGAACAGAGATGACGTATAACAAATGTGACATCTTCCTTAGCGGGAAACTCTCTGGCATTTCTCAGTTTAACGTCGCAATTTTATGCACTTATGAGACGTTATCAGTTTTCTTATCGAGACGTATTTTGTTCTATCGTCTTCGCATTATTGCTGCAAGAACAAACTTAATTAATTCCGCCTTGAAAAAAATTGTAACTCACATTATTTATCATTACAGGTATGGAGTGCAGAACGCTCTAATAATGCAATAGATTAGATAATAGGTAACTATCTCCAAAACACAAACTAATGATAAATAATTCGCCACAGTTACGCAAGAAAAATCCAATTCGTATGAAGTACATTCCAAAAAAAATGAAAATGAAAATTTAATACATAATTTAAAAAATATAAATAGCACTGAGGTTCTTCACAATCGTTCGAGAAGTCAAGCATGGTCAAACATGATCTACTTTCTTTTCTTTAAGGATATTCATTGGCAAGAATAACCCTTAAAAAATGGGTAAAAAGACGCAATTAGAAACAAATGCCACAATTAGTAGAAAATAAAAACTATTTTCTAATTAATTTTAAGCTTTCACAAGACTTGGGTCGTTTTGTTTTTTACAGAAAGACGTATAGACTATCCATTGATAACAAAATTTAGAAAATCATAATTTTGCGGGTTGGATCTTTCTTGTATAATATGACCAATTCTCCGTGTCTATATATTTAAAAAAGTGATCCCATAAATGCAACAAGAGGAAAAGCACATAAACGCGAATGCGATGATTTTCATTAACAATGATAATTTTCAACATAAACGTGAATGCGACGATTTTCATTAACAATGAAATTTTACTGCCGATATTTCGTTACGTTCGTCACGAAACAAGCAGCACTTCACGTGTTGGAATGCATTCGAATCGATTGACGCCATCGTTATAAGCAAGCGCAATTTTTAAGATGTACATATGTGTAAACATATGACATTTCTTGGTGATGATATATAGATGATGAGTAGATTAGATAATAGCCAACCATTCCCAAAGTGAAAAGTGACAATGAGAAATTCCTTATTAATTATAGGTGTATTAATAGCAAACGCAGCCTATAAAAGCGTGTGTACGTCGTGGAACATAGCAGTCACAAATTGACAGAACAAAGCACCGCATCATCACGTTACAATGTCGCGCGCTAGTTTCGTACTGCTCGTTGCGATCGTAGTGCTCTTCAGTAAGTTTTCACATCGCGTGAATAATAATAGTGCACCTCGGCTTAAACTTTCGTAAATAATCGTCATATATGTACTAGTCCTTATTTTAATTTTTAAGTTTTAATCTTAATATCATCAATAAATTCCACAATTACTTAAATCATATTACACATGTACAGGCACAGCTACTTCACAACGACGGTGTGGACGACATGAAAAGTGGACCACTTGTGGAACACCATGTTCATCGGGCTGCAGCTCACAAACTCGTCGAGCTTGCGCTCAGGTATTTCTTTCGATTTGTTAAATTTTATTCGATAACGTGGATCTCAATGGAGCTTCACTCCGTTTTCAAGCGAACATTCCAGTCGTTTTGTGACACAATTTTGCGTAAGAAGTTTTTGGACTGCGAAACGATATTTTACCTTCGATTCATGTAAACGGCATCTGATGAAGTTTATCTCCAATATTTATATCCTTTTCACGGAGCTGATCCTGAATTTGGCGCAATATAGAATTTCGTTCAAACAGATGAATAATCGTTTTGTCTTTTTTCGACGTCGTCATACGGGTTAAACTCAAGCGGATCATCAACCTTCCCTACTTTTTTATATCGTTCCACTTATTTTGTGCTGTTTCGCCCATTTTCTAAGCCACTTTAAAGTCTAAACATACGTTAATTTTGGTCCTTTTGCATGCGAAACTAAAAACACCGTCTTGTAATGATTGAGATACTTTGCACTCATTATGAAAATTTCCACTTTAACAAAAACTAACGTTTGGAATGACAATAAAGCATGTATTGTGCAAAAAGGCACGCTCCAATCTTTCCAACGTCGTATAGCAGATGAAACTACAGTCAGTCGTTTTGAATTAGGGTAGTAAATTTTTTTGTGGAACAATTCGTAATTATGCGATTGAACATACCGGACATTTTGTCAATTATAGTTATTATGACGAATTAATACGATATCTTGTGATATATTTCAGCAATGTTTCACCGGCTGTCAATGCAAACAAGGATTTTTGTTGAACGCCGCGGGAGTCTGCGTTCCTCGTAATAAATGCTAAAAGCCAATGGAAATATGTAAAGTATATTATTTGGATAAGAGTAATCGGTGGTGATAAATAAATACGAAGTATATTAAAAACAGCAATACTATCTTTAGAAATATATTCAATGTTCTTGAAACGTTCTGTGTAATAATTATTGCAAAGAAAAAACGTTTTCTCACGTGCTTCGGAAAAAAAACAAATTTATCATAATCTTTCACATATTTGAATATTTTTACATTTCTCATTTTGTTATTTGCATATCTCCCTGTACTTTAAAATATGCATATTCGGCATCAAAGAAATTTAAATAGAAAAGATACATGTTATTTTCAAGTAAGAAAAAATCGTGCAACATATATTCTTGTCAGTTCTGAGAAGTGATTCTGAGAGTCAGTTCGGAGAGTTGTACGTCAATGCTGCTTAAATAACAAGTACACGGTTTCACGGAACGAGCAAGATATTAGCCAATATTGACTGTATACGTTAAGAAAGTCTCGTATATGAATGCCGCTTTAATGGATTGGTATCTGCATATTTCGAATAGCGTATTATTGTTCAAAGTAGTTCTACTTAATGCCAATTTCATGGTTGTAATCATACGGAATTCAAATATAGGAAAGGAGGCGAACGATTGGACAATTATGCGATTGTAATTTATTTCTTTCTACAGTGAAACAAAAAAGTAATAGAAAAAAACGTGTATTTAATTCACAATAACAGAAAAAGTGTTGCAACTAATTAACACAAGTAAATGTATAATAGGCTATTTAAAAAAATTAATGTTAAGAAAAATAGTTATGTATCAGATGATGTTATATACTTGTAAAAATGACTCTGTACGACTATCAACCATTTTACATACACAGCCAATAATTGCATGCTTTACCTATGCATTTTATGTATAAATATATATATTTATTAATAATATATGATATATTTCCTTCTAATTTATGAATATGTAGATAGGTGACTTAAGAAAAGAATGAAAAACTTTCATCATATTATGACTTCATGCCACTAAGCCTAAAATGAATCAGCGTGGATTCTATCCATGTAGTCATTATTTTGTCATGTTATGTACTACAACAACATAAAAGATACGTATTAAAAAACGTAGCGGGAAAGATGATATTCGTATCATTGTTACATGCGCATGGTTGTTTACTGATTCTCGTTATAAGTAATCTGTTACCGATTAAGTAGTGAGTGTGAGAAGCGATTAAGTAATGTATGTGAGAAGCAACATAATCTTCATCAACGGATGTATGCGTATCTTGAAAATAAGAAATACGTGACAAGAGCAAGCCCAGAATTCGGTAGAAGGGGCCACTATCATGAGAGATACAGTTGGCAAATACAGTTATAAATACAGTTCGTTAGCAAATACATGCGATGATTACAAATATCTGGAATTTTCAAATTTTTTTCTCACAGGCAATAAACAAACACGAGTTATTTCTCGTATATTGTACTTTTAATAGAGTTAAATTAACAGTAACGGCTAAATAATACTTTTTAAATATTTTAGTGCGCAGAGAAACAGGTGGCTACTTTGGTACTTCCGTATCGTACACATTGAGACTTATTATCGCATTGAGACTCATGTTCGTAATTAATGAGACACAACAATATAATTGCGTTATGACTAATAATAAGTATATTATTCACGAGTGAATAAATTTCCACCGATAAGCGATAAAATCGTGAGAATTATAAGATACAGGCATCGTTTTTGCTTATACACACACACACACACACACACACACACATATATAATATGTAATTATATCGTAATTAATTAATGATGTAACATAAAGATATATTTAAACTAAGTGCGCTATTATATACTGTACGAGTCAACATTAAAGTTTCATTTCCGAAAAAAATAAAATTATTTTTGTGCAATATACAGTATTTTTTTTTTTTAATTCCACACACATCGATATTTTTCTTATAATATTTTATTTTGAAGTTTGAATTATGGACGTATTGATATCTTCACCATTTTTAATTTAATAGATGTGACTAATAATTAATAATATTTAAGATAACATAGAAAAACATTTTACATATATATTGCTGATATTTACGCAATTATAAAATTCAAGTTAATCACAGTTCGAAACGAAGACCAGCCAATTTGATTAACCCGAAAACCCTTGTTTACGAAACGAAATTAGATTATAGGCCAACTGATAAGATTGATAGCTAACCGGTTGATATCATACGGCTGGCGATATTGGGATTTCAGTCTCTAGAAAAATGTATGTACAAATCTGTGAGATGAGTAACGTGGAAAAAAAGAAGGAAGTAGGAGTGCCGAAAAAATATTCATCACGTCGAAGGCCGCCCGCCGTAGTATATAAGCACGGACGATCGACACTTACTGTCAGTCCAACTCGAGTTGCCCAAAACGCAAGTTGTGTCGCAAGTTAATACATTATCTACTGAAAAATACAAGCATGTCTCGCGCAGTGGCTCTTCTCTTCCTCATCGTAGCAGTTGTCACCATCAGTAAGTTTATAAAAAAGTTAATTAACATCTTATATTTATTCTGAAATTCTCCCTATTTGATATTGCTGAAAAATTAACAGTTTTTTCATAAGACTTTTACGTAAGATATACTTTTAGAAGTATAAAGTTAGAGTCGGACAAAAAGTTCGATTCGGTTTTCGACATTTTCTTCGACGGCAAACTAATCACGCTCTACAATAAAGGCGAATACCAGAATATTGGCGAGGAATTATAGATAACAATGAAGATTACTTGCGATTACGAGTGATTTATTTCTACGTTGAATGTGATAAATTCAGATTTAACTAAATAATCAAGTTAAACTTTATAACCGGTTCTATACTATTTGTATAAGTTAAAGATTTTAATTAAGAATTTAATTAAGAATCTTCAGAGAAATATTAACACCATTTATAAAAGAATTCTTGATTAATATAAAATAATTAAATGTTTTATTACGTTTGTAATATATAGTATGTACATTTGTAACATGTTATGTGTAGGTGCCCATCCCCAAGGATTGAAAAGAGATTGCGGCGAAAATGAAGTATTCACTAATTGTGGTACGTCGTGTCCGCCCACTTGCCAAAATCCACAACCTTACGCTTGTACACTGGTAAGTAATGTATTCACTAACGACGAGGCCATATTTAGGAATAGTTATAACAATTTCGTCAAATATCTTAACGAATTTTTTTATATATGTACCATCGTAAATATAAATTTACTTTGAGTATGTTACTTTTATGTTATCCATTAGTTTGCAAGCCAAATTTATGTTCGTGTATTTATTAATAAGCGCAACTTGCAAATATACTTGAATGGAAAATATGAAATTCTCCATAATAATTTTATCTAAATGGAATTTGCAATATATTAAGTAGTTCGTTTTTTATTTTGCAGGCTTGTGTGATAGGCTGCGAGTGTGCCCAGGGATATGTTAGAAATGCTCAAAACAGATGCGTGCTTACACATAATTGCTAGTAGATTAATATTTGAGCATTATAAACATGATGCCAAAAATGAGTCAATTGCGTCATCGAAAAAATGATAAACGCGTAGTTACAGCTTTTTCGACTCTGCTGATTAATATGTTTGTTGTGCAGATTTTTTAACGACGCCTATCGGACGAAACATTATATTGAGATTATTATATAATTAGTTCTTTTACATTTGTTAAGACAATATTGACTTTTATGTTTTTAATAAAAGAAAACTTTGGAAAAGATCAAAATGTTATTGTGTTAAAATTTGATATAATTCCCTTATTTTCCTTACGAATTATTGATATCTTCAACTATTTTTTTTATTAATTATTATGGGTTTATCATACCAAATAATGTTTATATTTATAAAAATATTGGATTGTCAATAGCGATATCTGATATTTATAAAAATTAATATTTTTATAAATATAAAGCATCGATATATGAATAAAATTACAACGAAGATCAGAAACTTTTTAACAATTTAAGCACACCGATTGTCATAGCTGATTCTTCAAGAGACTCGGTTCGCCGGTATCGCCGTCGCTATCAAGAAAGATGTATCGAAATCCGTTAACAAAGTGTCGCGAGAACGCAAAAGTTCGCTTGGTTTCTTAAATATCCTTTTTGGCACTGGCAACGCGAGACGCAAACCTAAAATGAAAATCATAAAACATCAATACGACGAGTTAATTCACGGCTCGGTGCTGGTTGACGTTTCGCTAAAGCGACAGTGTTTGAGAAACACTGCGGAAAGAATATATAGCGAACATAAATAATAATAAACGAAAAATAATCATGACGTTACATATTGTCATGATAAATATATACAGACCGCAGGGCAGATTAGAGGCGGGGATTGATTGCATTTAGCTTCACAAGCTTCCGGTCGCCCACAAGTGGTCCATTCCTCATGAGTACCGCACTGAGGTTCCGGTGAATAAGCGGCTAAACAATATTATCGAGTCATATAAAACATTTGTATTGTATGATATAAAGTCTGTTTGTGCGTCGACATGTATAGAATATTTCGAAATATTGTAACATTCTCTATAGTACGAAACTAAATTTTTCGTGAAAAGGCGTCTCACAAAAACATCGACAGAATTGTATTTCTCACGCAATAAAAGCGTACAATGTGTACGAAACATATTTGCAATCAAGACATAAACATATAAACATTTTTCTCGTGTGCCCGATATTAAACGTACAGTTTAAGATAATTGGTTCCTAAGGTACCGGATTGTCAATAGCGGTATTAAGGGGTTCCTACATAAATTTATTTATTTTTTGTTAAAAAAAATATTTTCCTATAACTTTATTTAACTATCTAAGTAATAAATGCTCATTTTGAGTACGAAATTAAGACAAATATATACACACAATATTACAAATACAGAGGTATTATTGATTACTTAATTTTTTATTAACGCTTTATTTATATTTCAGTTGTGCTAATAGAGACGTACACATAATAGAAAGTAGTATATAAATATTTAAGTATATGTATATATACATGTTTCGTATCATTTTCTAATTTAAATTCTTTGCCTTGGCGAGAGACGTTAGACTGTTTATGTTTGTTGTCTAGTGCCTCTCACATTGTTGATTCCTTCGAGAACATTCTCGAAGTTCGTTATTGTTGACTATCGCTGCCTTTATAATCGGCAGCGGCTCTCGATAACATGAGCTGGTTTTTGACATTTAACGGAGCTAGACTATCCGATCCCATACAAGACACCGCTCGCCTTTTTAAATAAATCAGCAAGATTAATAAAGAGTTCGTTAATCGGCGTCTGTACCATCATGCTCGCAACCAGGAAATTAAGCTAGATGTTCTACCTCGTTTGCGTCAATCGTGGACTTCCCGAGGCTACACGCAAAATCATCAACAACATATATCGCAGGGATATTACAATAAATTTCTTATGGCCATATAAAAACAAAATGTCAATAATTCTAAAATTGTTGTATAATGCCTCTGTATTGATTCTTAATATTACAGTAGTTCTTTACTAAAATCCTAAATATGGTTTAGAAGAAATTAAAAATAAAATTTAAAAATAGGACATAACTTCAAGGAATACATATAAAATCTTTAATTGCGAATATCTCAGTTTCCAAATGATCGATCGTTTTCTAACTTTGCAAACGTGTAGATAACATTTCCATCAATATGCAGCTAAAATTTAAAAGGATCCCTAGAGAAAAAGGTTTGACGGGGACCAATTACCTTATATAAAATAATTGAAAAACTTACAAACGGTGCAGACCGCAATGACGAGGACGAGCAAAGCAATTAGACGAGCCATTTTATGTATTTGCTTGCGTTATGCGTGCTACACTGCAGAAATCGCAACTGATAACCACATGTTTCAACGCGATCTTTTATATGTTTTCGACTTATGACTTTCACGTATAAGTGCATGATTAAACAGAAAGATTTACAAGATGTTTAACATTCTGGAGGGCGTAGGTTATCAACACTTGACTTTTTAACGACATTACCAAATTTATTTAATACGTCGCAAAAAATAAACGCGATATGCATATTATACTCTGAGATTGCAGTGTGCAATGCGTATTATATCTTGCAACCGTATACTTTTTATCGTGTGTTTTATACTACAACAGTACCGACGATAACACCGATGTAAAATAAAGATGATAAAGATAACATATGACACATAGCGCTCGCGGGTAAATAGAAGGCCATAATCTTGCATCTTGATGCATTATTGCATCGTCGAGGTCAGCAGAAATCCTGGGAGCGATAAATGAGATTAGAAGACAGTTACCTTACGATGTTAATTTTATTTTAAAATATTTTTAAATTACGTGAAAATTAAGAGACACGGTAGTGTTGCTATGTTTCTTTTTGACTCGAGCGGATCTAATGTAAAAGCCAATTCACTCTCAATTCTTTCGGAAATATATAGCTATATATTGTAAAAAAAGTATAGATATAGGAAAGATATTTCATATTGAGGAAACATGATTAAGTGAATCAGCTCTTATTAATTTGTTACATACGATTTGGCGCTTCTCGATGTCATTATTTTTATAGTGGGTAATCCGAATTAAGTAATATAATAAAATGCTTTCAAATGTTATCAGCTTTCGTTAAATTAAGTTTCGGTTATCATTATTTTCGCAATGCTATTGCCTTGACCTTGAACTTTATTTTTCACAGTCAAACGCAGCTAATGAAATTGTCGACACGATTTCTTTTCATCGGTAATTACACGTCAATTTGCATATGTATACTCCGTGAGTCATGAGATGACGGCCCTGTCGTTGCAGATAATTTTTCAGGTCGTTCTCAATCCAGTTTAAAGAAGACCAAAGCTGTTACACGCAAGATAAAGTAACAGTGAGAGGGACAATTTAAAGCGTCCTTAGTATCGTAATTGAAAAACTAGATACGATAAAAGAAGACTGTTTCCACGAAAAATATTTCCCAAAATATTAAAATAATCTATACGTGCGTCCCCTTAATTTTCCCCAATTTTTTACATTGAATAACGTTTTTCAAAAAGACAGCTTGCAAAACACAAACTCGAAATATTTAGCTGATGGTTAAATGAAAAAAAAAAGCACGGTGGTAAAGGTAACGCTATCTTCGAACATCTTAATTCAATATAAGCCTCATCCCTGAAATCGGATTAGTCACATGACTGAATATCTTTATTAATTAAGGACGTGGTTAATATCTTAGGCGCCTTGTGCACCCTCGTCACATCCTTCTTCCACATCCCGGCCGACAGCTCAGAAAACTGAACCTCATCATAAAGCAGTTTGTCATTAATACAATTAAGCGGCACGTTATTACACGATTTGCAGACGAGCGGGGAACTCTTGCAAGCTACGTTACTATTTCCGTTAGTGCGTTAATAAATAATCCAGTCTACGGGTTAATCTCCGATGTTAAACGTCGAGCTCAGTTTTAGAAGCAGTACGTTATCACAAAGACGTAAGAATATAACGGTGCGAATGAAAAACGATTTCTTGATGCATCCGCTCGAAATTTCTAATTAGCGTCGACTAGCACCTCGCTAAGATATTAACAAAATTTCGATAACGTTATTATATATAACATCACTATACAATTTTTAAGAAGAGAAAAAAATATATATATATATGTCATGTGTCAATTATGTTTTATGAGACATAAATTTCGTGCAATTTCACACGGAACAAATATTCCACGTCGAACAATGGCGCGATACCCATTCGCTCTTTCGGAGCTGATATTTGACGTTTGGCAAATACCATGGATGACACGCCGCGGCCGCTCCTATCAGCAACGTCTCGAACCCATACTCGAGAACCCTCCGAGAGATCTGAATCGTCAGTTTTAGAGGACAGCGGAGAGAACGATCGGCAGGGACGAGGGAGAAAAGGAAATTCGAAGCATATTCGGCTGCCGCGTTTCCGGTCGGCTGCTTCAATATGACCGATAAAGCAGAATGTCGACCGGGCAGAGACAATACGGCATTCGAAGCGTATGGCGAAGGGAAATCGTTTCTAGCCCGTTGTCGACGCGCGTCATACCGCCATAGGCGCAAACGAGGTTTCAATGGAGGATGTTCCTGCAGAAGGAAGATAATTTCCGAATCGTCCGCGCATGTAAATCGCACTACTGAAGTTATTATTCCCACCGACCGTGACCATTCCGTAAAAGGAGCGAATGCGAATGCGTGCATCACACATTATTTGCATAATGCATAAAAAAAATTGCAGCAATGGTCGCGATATCTAATCGGTACTTCTATTAATAGAAAGAAAGCGTTAGAAACAAAACTTTGCACTTTAGCAGCTTGCGAAGTATATTTTCAAAATATTGGAAATAATGCCAGATGTGTTAATCCGCGACATCGTACCATCGAGGTTTAATTAAATCAATGAATTACTTTGTTCTGTTCAAAAAAGAAATAAGTGAATTTTCTCCTTGTGTTTCTGGAAGAACTTTAGGAAAGAATAAAAGCCGTAAATTTGAAAGTCACAAATTCATACGAATAGTTGCAACTGATCATTAAAAAAAAAACACAAAAATTCAAATTTAATCCAATCGGCCTTGATGATATATCGAAAGTTAATTCATTTATTTCTCATATTGTCTCTTCATGATGAAGTATAAGAAAAAAATTCCGCGTAGGCAGAGATGAAAATACAAATTTAAATGTTCATCTCTTTTCGCTGACGTGCAGCGCGAGAGAGAATGATTTAAAGAAACGCGTCTCTCCTTAGATGAAAAGCCAAGGGGTCTTGATTTACCGCGCTCAATCGGCCCCATTTCTCCATGAAGATTTAATCTACTACGCGAACCTACATTGCAACCCAATATGAAATCTACCGTGGATTAAAATTTACGCAAATTGAAAAGTTTCATAATGGAGTCCGAAAATTCCCGTGATTGGATCGTGTGATATGTTTAGATTAAACTTGAGGATTTTCCAAATTTTCCAATCAAATAAGTATAATCTGTATTTATTATAGTAAGTTAGGAAGACAAGATATCAGCTTAGGAACGAGATATCTGATCAAATGGATGAAAAATATCGAATCTACATTACTTATGTTACAATAAATTGTAATTATCTGCGAGAAATTAACAACGAGATAATGAATGATAACTTGTTCGATTAGGTCATTGATTTTAGTTACTACTGAAACACATAGGAAATTTCTAAAAAATATTAACGGCATCCAATTGGCGCAAGAAAGAAGTATTGTTACTGTTACAGAACTGGAAAAATAAAATCGTGTAAGTTTCATCTTGCATTTGTATTCCGTAATTAAACGCCATGAAACATGGATATTTTCATGTCGATATTCAATAATTAATAATTGTAAAGATACTTTGAGTTTTTGTTGATTCCTGAAATAAGCAAAGGCTTTGTGTGAAAATATATGCATGTATGTGTGTGTATAAAGCTGAAGAGATGGACTTTACGCCTCTGGCGAGTGCGAATTGTTACAGAAGGTACACAGAGCGAATCTCGTTTACGTTTCTCCTTAGTTTAATTATCATGCTCGCCTGCCGTAACTGTCTACACTTGCATTTGATTGAAGAGTACTGCGTCGAGTAATTACGCCTTAGTAAAGGCGACCAGACAAGCGTCAACGTCAAGTGGCGAGCCAGTCGGTAGGGATGCCAATTGTGCAGTAAGCACCATTAACGTGTTTTTCCGTGTTTAACTTGGTGAATTCTTAGATACAAATTCGTTGGCAAGATATTCGTTAACGAATTTTAGGAAAGGTCGTGATTGGAAAAATATCACGTTGAAAGAAATTGAAAGAAATAACCGAAAAACTTGTCGGAAAATTCGATTGTTGCAACAATAAGTGCTTAAGTATAACAATTGTTTAGACAAATAAAAACATTTTTGCAAATAGGAGTGTTTATCGTGTGATATTAAGATACTCGTTATATCACATATATATTATCTCAATCGCAGCAATTTTCCGTGTCCCGCGAAACTCATTTTGCAATTTTATTCGCAAATAACTGACTAAAAATAAGCGTAAAATTCAGCGCAAAAGCGGCGGATATTGTCGGGTAGATATCCGTCGACATTTTATTGACACCGCGGGCATTAAATTCCGTAATGAAATTGGACCGTGACTTCGATACTCACGGCCAGAAATTTATATCTCAATTAAAATGCGGCCCGCTCGCGTTTTATATAAATCAACCGTGAATTTTGCGCCGTTCTCGCGCTTTTTTCCACCGTCGCGATTTCCGTCTTGGTCAAGACCTTTCGCGTGTGTCGATTTATGAAATAATAAGTCACGAGCGTTTCCAGATAATGCATTTGCGATCCGCGTACACACGGAGATAGCCTATCGTGTTTAAAGTGCTTTATTGATACATCCGATTATCGATGAGATACAGCTAAGTACTTTCAAAATACCCGAAGATACGATCATAACTGACTTAATCATTAATCATTCAATAAATAAACGTGAAAAAAATAAAAAAGTAACGATATTACAGAGAATATTGCGTCAGCTTAATATGTACCAATTTAAAGAATTATTAATTAATTAAAGTAATTTAGTTATATGTAATTAATTAATTTAATTAACGTATAAAATGTTATAATATTAATCAGTTTTATAACATAAAGAGACACAAATAATATATTAGGACCAAGTGTCGTAATTGTTAATTCATACAACATTTAGTTCATAAAGTTTAGAGAAATGTGTGATAATGTTTGTCATGCACAGCATGTTGTCCAATTTCATTGGATGCGCCGGTTAATTCCTAAATTCACCCGCCTATTTATTTCCACGGCGGCTTATCGGCCGGTACATTATCTCCATCGCGGAAACACCATCCCCGATGATATTACGTAACGTTCTATGAATATCGATGCGCCCGTCGGGACGTCAGAGGCGTCTCTATTGCGAGAGAAACCTCAACTATTTATTCTCTGCGGGGACTTTCCTGAACGGTCGGTGCAGTTCGACGATAATGCACTCTTCCCTCGCTCCGAGCAAACGTTCGCAGATATTCTTTCGGAGGAAGAATTTCATGTAGGGTTCGATAAAGATGAATTTTAATTAGAGAAAAGAAGAAACAGAGAATGTGTGTGTGTGTGTGTGTGTGAGAGAGAGAGAGAGAGGAGGAAGATTCGCAAAATATCTTCCCGATAGACAGGAGGGGCGGTTGGAAAATTTGCGAACCCCTGGTGGAAACGGGCTCGACGCCGGGGACGCGCCCGGACACGACAAACGGTCTTGCACGCGAGACTATTTACTAGCGGCACCGAAACGCCTCCGACGCCGACGGATTCCTTTCCATTACGAAGATTGCGGGGTCGTTTCTTCCCCGGACGCGGACCTTACCCCGGGCCGAAAATCTGCGGCGGTATCGGCGCGGACGGACGATATCTCCCGCACCGCGAGCGTATCGTCGTGCGTATATAGCAGCCAGTAAAACGCTTTACGAGCATCCACTGGAAATTAATCAAAATCGATAACCGTGTGCTCGCTCGCTCGCTCGTGCTCGCGCCTTCCGCGACGCCGAAAGCGACGAAAGCTTGAAAAAGGAGCGAGGGCGGCAGGAGAAGCCGCGAGCGAGGCCCGAGCGATAGCCCTGCATGTACATCCACGTGGGGATCGTAAAAGGGGTGTCCCACCTGCGATACGATAGCTCGCCAGTAAAATTTCGGGGGCGCCTGTTTACGGTTGCCAGGGAAACACGCGAGCACAGCCGTGTGTCGCGCGGAGGATTCTTCTCTCACCGGCGCCTCTCCCGGCCCTCTCGACAATAATTCCGCCGCCGTCCTCCGGCCGGGTCATCTCGTATGATCGACGTGCCGAGCGAGCGTGCCCGTAAAACGATCGCTCGTTCAAGCGCCGCGTAAAGTATCGAATTCATTTTTCGTACGCCCGAACGACACCGGTCGCATTTAGAACACGCGCGCGCGCGCGCGCGACGACGATTTCGGCGCCAGGGCGAAGAGGTCGAGTTGAAAAATCCACGGAGATCGCGGGAGCTTTTGTCTCCTCGATAATGTTTCGACGATCGATAAACAGCCCGAGATCGCGCGAGTTTACGATTTCCTATGCACGGACCTGAACGTCGGGTGCGCGTGGCTCTCTCCAGTTGCCACGGAAACACGACCGCACGGTTACTCCTCCGCGGTTACCTGCGACAATACACGAAGGGGTTGCCGGCCTAACCGGTATCCCTCACACGCTCGTGCATTCACGCCGAATTCTGCGCCGCAGAATTTCGCCGGCGGACGACCGGCGAAATCAAGCAAACGACGAGCGTGCGTGAGTTCCCCAATTAATTTCCTCCGCGCCAACCCTTCGCTTACTTTCAACGGCGTAATAAGGTCCGACGTTGAGAGCGGCCCGGCGACGAATTTTCGATTATTCCCCCGAGCCCGTGTGAAATTCCATCTTCTTCGTCGTTTTCAGCGAAGAAATTTATAGACGGAGCTTTTTAGCGCGCTCGGTGTGTCAACCTCGGAGCGATGGAGAATTCATCAGAGGGGATCCCGCGTCGTTGTTTTCCCCGAAAGGAAAACCAACGGCGTTGATACGGCTGAAATTAATTAGCGAGCTCGTTCGCACGTCGGTACTCGCGCGCGCTCATTGTTGCCCCGACTCGGCCGGCTCGATGAAATTGCGAAATAAACCGGCGATTTTAGCAAGGCGCACGGCGGAATAGCGGCTCGATAGGGGGGAGGGGGAGAGAAAAAAGGAGGGAACGAGAAGTTTATCGCGGTAGCGTACGCACAGTGGCTATAAACGGCTACGGAGCGTGAAAACTCTTGGCTCCGAAGCCAATGTTCTTTCTCCTTGAGCTAGTTGGTGGCCGCCTTCGGACGTTGCACCGATCCGACGTTAAACGCTGCCAGCGACATAATGTCGCGCAGGTAAACGTCATCCTACGCCTCGCACGTGCTCAACGTCTCTCGCGCATTTTCGACACGTCTCCGCTCCTGCCACTTCTGCGTAACGCCTCACGTATTCCCGTCGCGTAAACTATACACCAAACGATTCGAAGGAAACCCTGTAACGAGATCCTAACCCCCGGGNCCCCCCCCCGGGGGGGGGGGGGGGGGCGACTTTATGTTCTCGAACGTAAGCTTCATTTCACACGCGTTTCCTCTTCATTTTCTTACGCGAACATGTCACTTGGACTCTTACACGGCAGTTATGCGATTAAGAGAAAATCGCAAAAACACAAACGTCATTTTTCGACGTTTTTATGAAAGTAAATGTTCCGTATGCTTCGCCGTAAAAATAATCTATCCTTGTGATTGTGCAAATACCACAGCGCGCGTTTGAAAAGTCTCTTACATTCACTCATGTTAATAATTTCCAGTGGAAGTGAAAAAAATTCCATTCCTTTACTTCTCCTCTCGCGGACTTTTGACGCGCTATCGTTTGACAGCATCAAGCTTACGCGGATGTGGTAATAATATTATCCGTAAACTCGTGTGAGTTTATATGGTTTGTGAAACTTATCGGCCGATACGCGGGTGATATTGTCAGCGAAATCTCATTGGTACATACCCTAATGAAGCGTATATAATCGGATCGTATTTGAAAACGCGAGGCACCAGGGCTGCGATCAAAACTGATAGTAACATTTCCACTCTGCGGGGCGGAGGGGGACGGGGAGTTTCCAGGAATCGCCGCTTATTTTTTATGACTTTTCACGCGATAATAATTACGCAATCACAAATCGTTGCTGCATGATATGTTTGGCATACGTCGGCTATGGCAAGATGTTTCATTTAAACGCGCCTGATCGACGATTGATTTTGCACTAAACAAGGAAGTTACCGTCGAGATCGCGCCTGCACGCGCTCGCCGCGATCTGACATTTTCGCAGCCTTTCACCGGGTCGTTGCAGATATTACAGCCACTGCGTGTTGGCTACCGTCAAAGGAGCAGAAATGTTTGTCCAGAATGGAGCCCAAGGACCTCGGTCGGTTCGACGTCCCCGATTGCGCAATATTCGCGCGTATCTAACGTCGTTTTATTGCACCGGTCAATAATCCAACGTCTTCGCGGCGTTGCTAATCGTGCCTCTTCGTTACGTTCGCGCGGAGAGAATGAGAAGACGCGTGAAAGGAGAACGAGCCGGACGTATCGGGACTGTCGACGTTTGCGCACGTGTAACAACGTTCTCAAGAGCGTGTAGTGGTGCATAATACGCACAGGCCGCCACGTGACGAGGGATTTTATAATTTTACCAGTCTTTAATGCCAGTTGCGAAGCGAGAGAATACTTCCCGACGAATTAGGAATTATGTAAAGCGAGGCGCGCGGGAAATGAATTTTGATAATGCCGAAATAGAATTGCTCCGCGGAAAAAGGATCAGCTCCCACAGCTAAAAATCTAGAAATCAGCCTTCACAAGTAAAAATTAGCTATTCGTAATGCAACGGAAATCTAGTTATTTTAGCTGATTTTCTTATCCTTATAGCTGGTTTTTATCTTCCACAACTAGAAAGTAGGTCTAATAACTAAACTTCGGTTATATTATACGAACGGTTAGTTGCTTTCTTCCAAGACAAAAAAGTTGTTGATTTTTACCTATGAATAAATATTATTGGTGAAAAAGTCATTGATGAATTCGCAATTAATGGAAGCCGAAACGGACGCATTCGGGAGGTGGAAGTGAGTTTTACATGCAAATCATTCGTGTTACCACGTGCGCTCACGCGGTGGAAGGAAGAACGCAATTTGGCAACAATTCGGCCAACTGGCCATCAGGCCCGGAAACCGCAGCAGCTGCGTCAATCCGGTGCGCAATATGCGCCGTTAAATCTTCCGGAGTCGTGACGTCGATCGTTTCTGAAACAATGCGCGAGCAAAAATGAAGAACGCTTATCGCGCGGGATTAAATTTGACGCAATTTTAACCGCACGCTTTGTAACCACAGATTCGCGAGAGACTGTCCGTTTCATTACTCGACGCGTGGATAAAAAATGTATCATTTTTTGACAGGAATGACTTATAAAAAATAGAAAAAAATACAAAATAAATTCTGTCTCTCTTAAATTAAAAAAACACAACTATATTTGTCCGCTTATTTTAATCGTATATCATTTTGAGCGCTGTTTGCGAAACTTTGAGAAATTATTCTCGTATTGTCGAGACCCGTCCGCCAAGAAAGACGATCGTCAACGCGAGATATGACGCGAAATGCAAAAAACGAAATATCGACGAAATATAGCGTAGTGCCGCGCTCGTAAATCCGCCGATTTAACTTCGCACGACATCCGCGCCCCGGCGAAGAGTCGCCTTCTCCCCTCCTGCACGGTCGCCTCTCTCTCTCTCTCTCTCTTTCTCGCGAGCTCTCTCGAGTACTCGATGAACCGGTGAATCCGCGAAAGAGGGAAGGAGAATCATCCCCCGTTAATGCCGAAGTAATGACTGGGGTGGCAACGTTGAAGGACCCTCGACGATCCGCCATTGCAAGCGCTATCGTCCTCCCGCTCGCTCCTTATCCTCTCTCGCTCGCTCTGGC